GTACCCTCTGAAAGTCTGTTAGATCCCTATCCCTACTAAAGCCATAAGCGAGACCAATGAGCTGATGTATGCCATAGCAACAGTAATCCTAGAGATACTTGGCTATAAGATGAACACCACAAGACTTACGTGGAGGAGAAGGCTAGAAGCCAAGATCAAGGCAACACGAAGAGAAGTTAGTCAGCTCTCAGAGCTACAGAAAGGTGCAAGGAGAAGAACTACAACAAGCTGTTGATACCTGAGGCACTGGAGACTGCCAAACAAAGACTTACCGCTCTGGCTACCCGCCTAAAGAGATACAAGGGAGAAGCAGAAACCAAGAAAATAAACAGGATGTTCACCACTGAACCGTCCAAAGTGTACTCTCAGTTGAAGGGTAATAACACAAGATCAGACCCACCCAGAGCTGAGACTGAACAGTACTGGAAGAACATATGGGAGAAAGAGGCATCACACAACACCAATGCTCAGTGGCTAGTGGATCTAAGAACAGATCACAGCAATCTCCCAGAATAAGATCCAGTAACCATTACAATGGCAGACATCCAAGAAAGAGCGGCAGGTATGAAGAGCTGGACAGCACCAGGCCGTGACATGATCCACACCTACTGGCTGAAGAAACTAACTGCACTGACAATGAACGTCTGGCAGTACAAATGAACCAACTGCAAACGGTTGGGACCCACCCAGAATGGTTAACCCAAGGACAGACGGTCCTGATGTTGGGGTTTTCAATATATGGTCAGGTTTGGTTATTAGCTGAATATCAAAGATATTATAGAAATATTCATAAAACGATTAATATTCAAAATTATTAATTATAATTAATAAATACAGGGCACCACCCTGGAATCAGGGACCAATAACCAAAAATGAGCCAAATATGGTCTAAAAGAGGGTTTGTCCACCTGTAGGTGGCAAACAGAGAAGGGTGAATCGGTACACTGGTCGTGGCAACCAACTCTTACAACAACATTATATACAAATAATCGCAGGCAGCGACTTCTTGAAATTATGGTAGCATTTATTCAACTCAAGCATAGATCAATCCTCAACAACTTTAGTGAGAAAATCACTATTAACTATTCTAAGCAAATGAAATAAAGCTAATAAAATTAAAACATAGAAAAGCATACAACAAACCAGCAAGCGTGTGTGTGTGTGTGTGTGAAAGACAAAGGAGTGGGAGAGAGTAAAAGAGGGGGGGTGGATCTGACCGCCGGTTCAGAATGCGCTAGAGGCCAGCTGATTTTGGAATCAAGATGGTGGTTCAAACCATATGATTTCAAGATCAAGAAAAATCACTCTCCCCTGAACTATAAAAATTGGAGACCTCTGATGCTAGCCTGCTGTGGGTCACAGATCTGGTTAGCTTCAGAGATCATGTGGTGTGTGCATGTGGGGTTAGTAAACAGAATGAGGAGAGAAAGGCACAGAGGAAAGCTATATACAATATACCACAGTCTATCCTACAGCCACCAACAGTGAATGTTCATTCAACAGCTAAGTGAATACCTCAGGCAACAGAAATACAAGGGTGGGGACAAGGAAGACGAAGAACCTTCATGGAGAGACAAGCCGCAGCACGGCATGTACCACCGACAAATAGAAGAAGTGGGTGATATCAAGAAATCCTACTAGTGGCTGGAAAAGGCTTGACAAAAGGACAGCACAGAAGCACTAATCATAGCAGCACAAGAACAAGCACTCAGTACGAGATCAATAGAGGCTGGGGTCTACCACACCGGACAGGACCCCAGGTGCAGACTGTGCAAGGATGCCCCTGAGATCATACAGCACATAACAGCAGCGTGTAAGATGCAGGCAGGAACAGCGTACATGGAACGCCATAACCAGGTAGCTGGCATAGTGTACAGGAACATCTGCCATTAGAATGAGCTGGAACAATACTGGACTCAGCAATGCAGCGTGGCATGGAGTCGATCCGTCTGGGGCACTGCTCAGGTGTTATGAGAGCCCAGGTTGCTCTGATAGTGGCCTTCAGCTCTTCTGCATTGTTGGGTCTGGCGTATCGCATCTTCCTCTTCACAATAACCCATAGATTTTCTATAGGGTTAAGGTCAGGCGAGTTTGCTGGTCAATTAAGAACAGGGATACCATGGTCCCATGGTCAGCAGCAGGAAGCATGAAGTGCTCTAAAACTTCCTGGTAGACGGCTGCATTGACCTTGGACCTCAGAAAACACTGTGGACCAACACCAACAGATGACATGGCACCCCAAACCATCACTGACTGTGGAAACTTTACAGTGGACTTCAAGCAACGTGGATTCTGTGCCTCTCCTCTCTTCCTCCAGACTCTGGGACCTTGATTTCCAAAGAAAATGCAAAATTTACTTTCATCAGAGAACATAGCTTGACACAAGGAATGCAACAGCTGAAACCCATGTCTTGCATACGTCTGTGTGTGGTGGTTCTTGAAGCACTGACTCCAGCTGCAGTCCACTCTTTGTGAATCTTCCCCACATTTTTGAATGGGTTTTTGTTTCACAATCCTCTCCAGGGTGTGGTTATCCCTATTGCTTTTACACTTTTTTCTACCACATCTTTTCCTTCCCTTCACTTCTCTATTAATGTGCTTGGACACAGAGCTCTGTGAACAGCCAGCCTCTTTAGCAATGACCTTTTGTGTCTTGCCCTCCTTGTGCAAGGTATCAATGGTTGTCTTTTGGACAGCTGTCAAGTCAGCAGTCTTCCCCATGATTGTGTAGCCAACCAGACTGAGAGACAATTTAAAGGCCTTTGCAGGTGTTTTTAGTTAATTAGCTGATTAGAGTTTGGCATCATGTGTCTTCAATATTGAACCTTTTCACAATATTATAATTTTCTGAGGTACTGATTTTGGGGTTTTCATTAGTTGTCAGTTATAATCATCAAAATTAAAAGGAATGAACTCTTGAAATATATCAGTCTGTGTGGAATGAATGTTTACATTATACAAGTTTCACTTTTTGAATGGGATTACTGAAATAAATCAACTTTTTGATGATATTCTAATTATATGACCAGCACCTGTATATAGCCTACATGTATTATGAATTTTATAGTTACTATTGATAATAGTTAATACTGATATTAAATTGGGGGTGCTGGGCGTCCTCCCCCTTAAAAATTTGGGCTTTAAACACTTAATTTTCTGCATTCTGGTGAATTTCTTTGCACCAAGTTTTTTTGAGGAAATGTCTCCGGTGACAATTCAAAATAAGAAGAATATAGTGTAATATAATGCAGTAAGGCTGTCAGATATGTATCTCCTGTAGATCAACTTTTCTCATTTAATTTAATCCCAGCTGAGTCTACATACATACAGGCATGCCTGAAGTAGCCTAAAGTCTTTTCAAATGTGCATATGGCACCTTTTTACCTCAATGATAAATAAGCTTAATTAATCTGAATTCAGTTAAGAATTATTTATTCTGGAGACATTTCCTGCACCAATTTATGGTGGAAATGTCATTATTTTTATAAAGGGAAGGAAAAAAATTTAGATGCCAGGTGACAATTCAGAATATAAAAATATAATAGAAAGTAATGCAGTAATCACTAGCTTATCATTTTTTTAGCTCATATCTATGCGGCGATTTTTTTTATTTTGGTCCACAACAGCTCCAGCAGAAGGGGAGGGATTGGGTGCTGTAAGAGATTTGATTGGGCCAGCCCAATGTCAGTATAGGCCAGACGCTTTATGGGCCGATCGTTGGCTCATTTTTAAAAAACAGTTTGGCCAATATAAATAAATAATTTGACTTGTAGCCTACTCAATGAGACAAGCACACTGCTCTTCATCAGAGGAAGAAAACCGAAACTGAAAACACTTGTGATCAGACAGCAATATCACCACGCTAAAACCCTCGAACTCCCAGGAATCTGGTAGAGGACCCGAGCTTGAGGATGAGAACCATACCACCCCACCAGGAGGGTGAGAGGGGGAATTTTTATACAAACACACACACACATATATATATATCACGTTAGGGACACAGATATCTTCTATCTTCTTCTAACTATCTTTCTTTGGGTGATGGACGCTTGATACAAGTCCAGCTTGAGGACTTGTGCTGAAAATGTTTTTGACAGTCATCATTTTATCAATACAGTATTTTACTTTTTACAGTGGATACAGTGTCTGCACTCTTTTCTATAATGGGTCTGTTTATTGTTATTTTTCATACATGTGATCTGCTGGGACTAATATCAATTGTATTTTCAATTAGTTTTATTTACATTAAAGCTTTCATACTTTACTTGCTATTAATTTCTCAGCAGTTTCTGAGCTGTTTCATATTAAGTCCTGTTCTGTCTATTTCCCCAGTAAATACAATATCCTGAATTGTGAGGGGAGCCCATCCTGCCTCTTGAAGATCGAACAGAAGATCTCCCTTTCCATCATTTCATGTTTTGCTAAATTAGATATGAGCTTGATTTATAAACACTAAGGAAGCTCTCTCTCTGGTACTATTTGAATGGACTGGTCTGTAAACTGGTAAATTCCAAAGCTACTTTAGTAATGTTCACTGATAGTTTGTACCATTTTCTCAGTTTTTCCATCTGGTCACCTTAATGTGAGAAATTATTGTTTACACTTTACAAATACAAACTGTCAGACAATGTGTTTTTTTCTGTGCCATTTCTAAACAAAGCTACATATAAATATAATACATCTTTAGCAGTCATTAAATTAACTTAAGGGGAGATGAAAACAGATGGACTGACATAAAAAGATGCACAAAACACACACAAGCACATGACTGCATGAATACATAGTGATCTGACAGCTCATTAAATTGTTATAATAAAGTTTAATAAACAAAAATCACAGCACCCTGTTAATCACAATATGACATGTTACACAATATGACATGTTCACATTACAGTCATTTGTCAAACATTTGTGTCTAAAGCAGTAATTTGTGGTTCATTATGTTGATCCATTTATATAATAAACTGTCAGATTTTATTATACTTTATCTGTCATCACAGACTTTCCTTCTGTGGACTCTCAGAGACTCACTGTGAAGTTGTGGCCTCAGCTTTGAAGTCTAACCCCTCCCATCTGAGACTGCTGGACCTGAGTCACAACAATTTGCCGGATTCAGGAGTGAAGCTGCTGTCTGCTGGACTGGAGAGTCCAAACTGTAGAGTGGAGACTCTGGGGTCAGTTCATGTATTCTACTCTTGTCCAATGCATACCTGAATGTTACCTTCAGTTCTCTTGTTTTCTGGGTTTGTCTGAGCACAAATCACAATAGGTCTTTTTTCAAGTTTGTCAGTCTGAGCAGTTTGGCTCTGAATTATTAATTAATTAAACTGTAAGATTTATTACAATGTGCTGCAAAAATAAATCAACATTTAAAATTTTACATCCAGCATGAATGTAAAACACAGCATTTTACAGGAACTGCTATACATAGAGCCCATCTCTCTCACACAGAGACACAAACACACTCTTAAACTCAAATATAGGAGCTGACAGCTGCATGAGACGACAGTGGTGATGAGGAGAGTCTAAATCTGTAGTTTGAAATGAGCACCAGAAGTGCTAGGACAGGTGTTGAAGAGCTCTGTAAAGCTATGTATTAAAGTCTTATTTAATATTTATTACATATTGTCCATCTTGGAATTTTTTTGAAAAATCTTTCTTAGCATTTTTTATATAGCGCCAGCTAATAACAGAAGTGACCTCAGCACTTTTCATATACAGCTAAAACAAAGAAATATTTCACTTTTAGTGCAATGAATGTAGGAAGGTTCACTTTTTGCTTAAATCAGGGGGAAAAAAACATATTACTTTTCTTTGTTCTTTTCTAATTTTCTGAGATGCAACTGTATATTGAGACATAATATTAAATCAACCACCGATGGAATATCTTCATTTCATCAACATGAATATTAAAATCACCTACACAAGTGATGATATTTCAACACATTCTCATCTCAATGCGTCATAACTGATGCTTTCAGACAGCGTGACAAAGCGTAAGTATTTTACGCTAAAGGTACCCTTCAGCGTCGATCTGAAACGCCCTTGTTTGCTACGTTACAGCAGCACATGGGAGGCTAACCCTACCTGTTAGCACATCAACCTAAACCTAAGTCAGTGACTTAGCTTTAGGTACTAACATTTCTGATGAGGGTAGGGGCTTCGGGGGGCTGTCAACACTTTTATCACGAATGTAGCTAACTAGCTACTGCTAGCTAACTAGCACTTCCAGTCTGTACGGGACACCCCAGAGCGTCTCATAGAGAGGCTTCCTGAAGCGTCTCATAGAGACTACGCTGTGTCACTCTTTCTCTAATCGTCGGTATATGACGTCCTGAGATGAGAACGGGCTCGATATTCTTTTAAGGACAAAAATTCTAGGAATACAGATAAATATTCTGAATAATGACACGGAGAGTTGTACACTATAACAAGTAGAATTAAGAGTCTGTTAAAGACCCAAAAAATAGTCCATGTGCTACATACTGCTTCATTCCATGGAATAATGTTAGGAGAGCAGTGGAGGTACAGTGATGTGCAATATGTGGCCATGTGCAATGTTGGCAACTTGGTGAAACGTTTAAAAATGTTTTCAGATGTCTGTTTGTAGAATGGAAATTTATTGTTTCTAATGAACCCAGCATCACTGAGCCCAAAATGAATTTCCCACGGGAAAAATAAAGTCTATTGTAAGTGAATTAATTTAGGCTAAAATTATCTTTATGACTAAGCCAGGCTTAAGTAAAACAAAATAAATCAATATGATAATCACATATTAAATAGTTTACCACCCTAGATGATGGCTTGAGATCAGCAGCATGTTATTAATCTGTGTTGACATGAATAGGTGTATGAATGACATTTGGATGATGTCTGTAGAAGGCTGACATGATGATCCACAATAACACAATGACAACGTCACTCACTCTCTTACATCACTACACAGTTAAAACCTGAACACATCTGAATGGATTGTATGTGGATTTTTATCTGCATCATTTATTCTTAATACAGATTGATTCGCTGCAGTTTGTCAGAGATCAGCTGTGCTTCTCTGGCCTCAGCTTTGAAGTCCAACCCCTCCCATCTGAGAGAGCTGGAGCTGAGTGACAACAAGCTGCAGGATTCAGAGGTGAAACTGCTGTGTGGTTTTCTGGAGAGTCCACAATGTAGACTGAAGACTCTGGGGTCAGTTCACTCACTGTCTGTTACTATTTTAGATCTTGAATGAACAATTGGAACTTATTTATGTTCAAACATATCTTACCTCCATAAAGTTGTAATTTTCTTTTATTCATATTTTCATGTTTCTTGTATTAAGTTCTGCAGTCACAAATGACTTATTTAAAAAAAAAAAAACTGTAATACTTATCATTTCTGGTAAATGGTCATATCTGTATCCAGAAGATCCTCTGAACTAATATCTGTTTTAAATTGATAAAGTTTTTTGCTGAAGTACATTTATTTCTTTTATTCCTTTTAACTTCAATGTGTCTTCATAAATGTCTGATCACTGATATTAATCCCTCAGAACACGCATACAGCCGTGTGTCACTGTTTTTATGGGGCCATTAATTTACATTAACATTTATTCTTTTAGCTCATGCTTTTATCCAAAGCGACTTACAATTGCTATACATGTCACCGGTCACATGCCTCTGGAGCAACTAGGGGTTAAGTGTCTTGCTCAGGGACACAATGGTGGATGTCTTACAGTGGGAATCGAACCCAGGTCTCCCACACAAAAGGCAAGCATCATTGATGTGATGCCTTCCCTGGCTCCTTTCCCTAACCACAACATTTAAACTACATATCTACTCTTAAGCCTAAACCAACCCCTAACCCAATTTTAACCGTATAATAAGGTCTTAATCCAAATACAGCCATTTAAACTTGTGGTGTCCAGAATGTTGGCCCCCAATGTTTGGACCCCATGAATATTATTAAACAAGCCCCTACACATACATTACTAATCTGTGTTGACATGAATAGGTAAATGAATGTTTTGCTGACATTCAGATGATGTCTGTAGAAGGCTGGCATTATCATGATCCACAATAACACAATGAAAAAGGCTCTACTCATTTTAGGGAAAAGCTCATTGATTAGGAGATAGCATTGTTGAGCAACACATTTAAAACCTGAACACATGTGATTGGATTATTTATAGATTTTTAACTCCATCATTTATTCTTCTTTCAGATTGAGTATTTGCAGTTTTTCAGAGATCAGCTGTGGTTCTCTGGCCACAGCTCTGAAGTCCAACCCGTCCCATCTGAGAGCACTGCACCTGAGTGACAACAAGGTTCAGGATTCAGGAGTGAATCTGCTGTGTGATTTTCTGGAGAGTCCAAGCTGTAGGATAGAGACTCTGAGGTCAGACACCATATTTTACTTCTGTGCTGAGATTACTATGATGTGAAAGTTGTGTTGACACTAAACTGCAGACATAAGGCTGATATTATACTGATCCACACTAAGTATGTTTATGCTAAAGTCTATTTATCGTCTTCACTGGTTTAGTCCATTGATTTTTAACCTTAATATAACCTCCATTATATCTCCATTTCTACTATCAGACAATAATTGATTTTATGACTCCACTATTCATAAAATAAATATTGTAGATGTCTATTGTTCCCATTTCCCCAAAATTCATCCTGACATATTTGGCATCTTTGGAAACTTTGGATTCTTGAGTCGAATCTTCAATCAGTTTCTGTGGGTTTTTATTTGTGTTTGGCTGCACAGCAGCATGTATAGATGGAGCCACTGGTGGAGCTGCAGAGTTTAAGAGGTGAAGTCACGACCTCTTTATTGAAGTAGCAGCACATTGTTATTAATAATAATGAGAGCTCTTTTTACGTTTTTGTATTTTACAGTTTGAACCTGGATCCTGTTGGGTTCAGGAGTTTGGAGTTTCCATTTTCTAAACTTAAACACTCTAAACCTTCTTCAGCTCTGAAAAGATTATAAATCCTGAATGATTTTGAGGAGGAACATTATCTTCTAAAGTTACATCATTTATTCTTTATTCAGATTGTGGGATTGCAGTTTGTCAGAGATCAGCTGTGCTTCTCTGGCTTCAGCTCTGAAGTCCAATCCCTCCCATCTGAGAGAGCTGGAGCTTGGTGGAAACAAGCTGCAGGATTCAGGAGTGAAGCTGCTGTGTGGTTTTCTGGAGAATCCACACTGTAGACTGGAGACTCTGAGGTCAGAGACCTTTTTTTTACTTTATAAGGGCCCGTGTCCACCAAAGCATTTTTTTCTGATGCCAGCGTCTTTTTTCAATTCATTCCAATGGGAGCAGCGCATTTTTCCAAGCTGGTAAAAACGCCAGCAGAGTGACGAGAAGTTGAGCATCATTTCCGCACTGAGCATTTTTTTCGGTCACCGTGAGTTGAAAAATGTTCAACTTTGGGAAAAACGCTGCACTCGTCACTTTCACATTTTACCCAGCCGTCCAGTTACATAGAGGAGGGGCGGGACAAATACCACACCGTAGCAACGGTTGCTATCCTGGAACTGGGCTTCATCCTCGTGGACTCACTGAGACGTTTCCTTGCCCATAAAATCATAAACCCAGACACGGCAAGTCCGTCCTCTCTCTCTACCTGCTTCAGCCTTCTCTTCATACAGAAGCAAGTACTCTGCTCTGTGTTGACATTTTTACATCCAGTGAAGTTAGGTAGAACTACTTGCAACCATGGATTTTATGTATCATAGCAAGCAAAGCAGGAGGAGAAAACGCTGCGCCTCAGAAGAGCAGCTGGCGTTTTCAGCTGGCAAAAAACGTTTTGGTGGACACAGCCCTTAATACGATGTGAAAGTTGTGTTGACACTAAACTGCAGATGGAAGGCTTGTATTATACTCATTGTTACAAATTTGCCTCAGGGAGTCCACACACACACAGAAGTTCCAAAATCCAAATTAATTAATTTAATAACAGGGAAATACAGTGGAGTGGGGAGAAATGGTTGCATGTGGGGATAGTGGATAGTGTGGGGCCTGTGTGGATGCATGAAAGTATGTGTGTGAGTGTTGTAAACCCAAACCTAACTCAAAAGGTATGAAGGCCATGAGGATATGTTAAGGCTGCCCATAAAGAGAGCACAGCCTATAGGAAAACAGCACTTTTGTGCTTTTGGCTCCTCCCTCCTCTCAGGTGCATGCTGTTGCCCAGGCTCCTGCAATAAGCAAACTGGTTGAGTTTGGTGTGGAGGATCTCCAGGATGAAAGGGTTGAATGCCAAGCTGAAGCCCACAAACAGGATCCTTGCATATGTCCCTGGAAATTCAAGGTGCTGCAAGATGTAATGTGGTCTTATGTTGACTGTATTATCCACTGACTTGTTTGCCTGGTAGGCGCCGTCCATGTCCTGCAGGTTGGCCAACACCAGTCTTTCAAAGGACTTGATTACCATGGATGACAGGATGAGAGGCCTGTTGTCATTTAATCCTGTTATGGAGGATCTTTTAGGAGATCGGGATAATAGTGGAGCACATGAAGCAGGAGGGAACTTCACATAGCTCCAGTGATATGTTGATCTTTGTGAAGATGGGGGCCAGCTGAGCCCAGCAGGATGATGACACAATCTTTGAAAGAGCAGATACACGCCCTTATCAAATATCCAGAGTGCAGGTGGGGTGTCAGTGGGGAGGGGTGGATGTTTGATGTTCGAGTGGGAGAGGGGTGAAATGCGGGCTTATCATCACTGATACTGCCTCGACATAGGCCTAGCCTACCAGTTTTTCTCCTTGAAGCACAAACATGTATTCACTTTCCCACCATTCATGAAATTGCCTTCCTCCTGCATCAATTTTTCTCGTCTTGGACATTTAGGGATTGTTTGTATACATTTCTCATCTTCACTTGTCGGAAAACTACTGTAGTGGGTGTGGAAACATCGCAATCTAGTGGTGGAATGCCGTCACTTCTCATGTCACAAAATCAACATGCATTGTGGGAGATGTAGTTTATGGCAGCATAGACTTATTTTAGGACAATCATGAATCTTTAAAGCTTTCGCGAGGCACATAAAATGACACATGTGGTGTAGGGGTATGGTCATCTGTATTTGGGGATGTCCATCAGGCCTCTCCACATTGACGCAGGGCCATCAGAGTGGCTTCTCTTTACTGCTTTGACCTATTTTGTCAGCATGTTTCTGGCCTGGTTGTACAGGATTACCAGCCCCACCTGTGGCTTATTAAAATGATCCATTTGCTGGGTACCGATCTCAGAGCAGCTGAGAGTAAATGCTAAAAAAACAGACCCTGCTGACCTCAAAGGCTACCACACACTACTATCCTCCTTCTCAGCCAGTATTAGAGCTGTCATAACTGTGTTCTATGATAACAGAAACAACAGCGCCACTGACTTACAGAAATTATTTTCTACTTTTAAATCTCTACTACATCCTCCTCTGCCTACACGAGTCACAAACCTGTCCACCGATACCTTTGCCTCCTTCTTCAAAGACAGAAGTGTTAAACAAATAGTTGAGAACTATCTGCCAGTTTTACTTCTACCATTTCTATCCAAAACTTTAAAAGGGTGGTCTTCAAGCAGGTCTAAGAATTCCTCTCACAGACTGACCTCCTTGATTAAAGTTTGTCAGCCTTAAGAGTGACCACTCTACTGAGATGGCTCTGTTGTCTGTGACAGAAGCCATAAGATCAGCTAGATCTGCAGCCCAGTTCTTGGCGCTTTTCTGCCAGACCTATCACCTCCCTTTGACACAGCATCCTGCTGTCTGCATTCTCAGCAATGGGTATCTTGGGCAAAGCACTCCTGTGGTTTGAATCCTACCTCTTTGGGCGTTCCTACAATGAGCTTTGGCAAGGACAATTGTCCTCATCTCACTGCCATTCTTGGTGCCCCAAAGCTTGGTTCTCTTCTCAATTTACACCACCTCACTGGCGCCGACCATTCGCTGGCATGATTTCTCCTACTACAGCTATGCAGATAAAATCCAACTCTACCTGTTCTTCCCGCCAAATTACCCTACTGTCTCAGCACAGATCATGGATTGTCTTTTAAAAATAATGCCCTACCTAACTCAGTATGCTACCAAGCTTCTGGAACAGGCCATGGTTATCTCTCGCCTCAACTATGGCAATGCCCTTCTAGCGGGTCTTCCAGTTTATGTGGTGAAACTCCTACAAATGGTCCAGAATGCAGGGGCACATCTGAATGTGATTCATCATGTTGTTTCAAGCAGGAACATTGTCATCTGAAGTTATTTGATTTATTCTTTATTCAGATTGTGGGGCTGCAGTTTGTCAGAGATCAGCTGTGCTTCTCTGGCCTCAGCTCTGAAGTCCAACCCCTCCCATCTGAGAGAGCTGGACCTGAGTGACAACAAGCTGCAGGATTCAGGAGTGAAGCTGCTGTGTGATCTTCTGGAGAGTCCACACTGTAGACTGGAGACTCTGAGGTCAGTAGAGGGTTGGAGTCAGTCCATGCTGGTTTCAGCAGTGATACTTCTGTGCTGAGATTAATATGATGCGAAAGATGTGATGACACTAAACTGCAGACATATGCCTGATATTATATTGATCCACACTGAGTATCTTAGTGTTATTAATGTCTGTTTTCTTCTTGACTGTGGCAGAGCAATGTTGAGCTCACATTTAAAACCTTAATATAACAAGAAAAATCTACACTGGATAATTCACTCTGAACCTCTTAATCTCGTGCTTTTTAGTTTATATTTCAGATCTTGTTTATGTTTAGATAAATTATAGAAAAAATATACATACATTAAATAAATAATCTCTTTTTCAACTGTCAGACAATAACAGTTATATTCATTATTTAATTTCCAACATTGTTGTGAAGCTATATTATGCTTATACTGACTCTGAAAAGATTATAAATCCTGAATGATTTTGAGGAGGAACATTATCTTCTAAAGTTACATCATTTATTCTTCATTCAGATTGTGGGATTGCAGTTTGTCAGAGATCAGCTGTGCTTCTCTGGCTTCAGCTCTGAAGTCCAACCCCTCCCATCTGAGAGAGCTGGAGCTGGGTGGAAACAAGTTGCAGGATTCAGGAGTGAAGCTGCTGTGTGGTTTTCTGGAGAATCCACACTGTATACTGGAAGCTCTGAGGTCAGACATGTTTTTTTACTTTTGTGCTTAGATTAATTTTATGTGAAAGTTGTGGTGATACTAAACCGCAGACATAAAGCTGACATTATACTGATCTACACTGAGGGCTAAAGTCTATTTTCTTCTTCACTGCTTTAGTCCATTGACTGTGCCAGAGCATTGTTGAGCTCTACATTTAAAACTTTAATATAACAAGAAAAATCTACACTGGATAATTCACTCTGAACCTATTAATCTCATGCTTTTTATCTTATATTTCACATCTTACATTTGTTTAAATAAATTATGATAAAAAAAATAAATACATACATTGAATAAATAAATAATGTTTCAGCTAAACTTATGCTTTCTAAACCTTCTTCAGCTCTGTAACACAATGATTTCAAGCAGGAACATTGTCTTCTGAAGTTACATAATTTACTCTTTATTCAGATTGTGGGGCTGCAGTTTGTCAGAGATCAGCTGTGCTTCTCTGGCCTCAGCTCTGAAGTCCAGCCCCTCCCATCTGAGAGAGCTGGAGCTGATTAACAACAAGCTGCAGGATTCAGGAGTGAAGCTGCTGTGTGATCTTCTGGAGAGTCCACACTGTAGACTGGAGACTCTGAGGTCAGTAGAAGGTTGGAGTCAGTCCATGGTGGTGTTTAGAACAGTATTAATTTAAATTCAGAACAAACGCAAAGTAAATCCTGGCTTGGGTTTTATCGCTTGACTATCTTCCAGTGTTCATACACAATGCGATATTGCGAGTAAACACAGCCGGCAATTACTACAGCGGTATGAAACCAAAGTAAAGATTTTGCTATGATTTAATTGCAACGAAGGGTTAAAAATTATGCTGAAATGTTTACAACATGATGTCAATGTGAATTCATGCTTTGTCCAGTCTGCCAGCAAGTCAGCAGGACAACCACTTTTAAAATGTTTGTTTTCTGAATGAAGTTCGGATCAATCAGGGCTGTGCAATGCTAAATGCTGTGCAATGCTCTGTAAACTCTGATTTATGACTTCTGCTGTCTGTCTTCTTCTCTCATCAGATGGAAGTGATCTCTGTCAGAGTGTGAGTGATGAGAAAGGTGGTGGTGTTGAGAGGGGTTCAGTTGTGTCCTGACGATCCAGAGAGGTTGAAGCAGCAGCAGCAGCTTGTGTGTGGAGAAGCTCTGACTGGGCCTTGTTACTGGGAGGTAGAGTGGAGAGGAGAGGAGAGCTTCATCCAGCAGTGACTGACAGAGGAATCACAACAGTGCTGCAGTCTGAACTGCTCTGAGATCAGCTCCACTGTCAGACACAAAGTCAAGTCCACCATCATCCCTGTGTGTTCCTCTGAATGTGACCATCAGTGGATCTGGACTGCTCTGCTGCTGCTCTGTCACAGTTTCTGCAGACACACTGAGACTCCTCCACTCCTTCTGCTCCACACTCAGCCATCTCCTCCAGCTGGACCTGGACTTTATTTCGGTCAGATATTATTGATATTATTATTAGTGCAGAATTATATATTTGTTTACTTTTAAAATAGTCTATTTTACGAGTATATCCCAACAGATTGTGTTGTTGCAGAAAACTGAACTAAAGAACTGCAAAGTCTGCTGACACTTATCTGCAGGTTTGTCACTATGAAAGACCTCTTTCACTTTCACGTCGTTATCTAATCCATTGTTAATATGAAAATATTGATTACAGTCGTTTTTAGTCACTGATATGTATCTGGATGTTAGTGAAAAGCCAGTGGTGTTTTAAACCTTGATGACACACTGAACACCAGAACATTTTAATAACTTGTTATAGGATATGTTTTTATTTTGACATTAAATTAATCAGCAAAAAAAATATATGTAAGTACTAACTCTAAACTTTAGTGTCATTATTAGTGATTAAGATTATTTACTTGTGTATATTTGTCCTGTTTTCTCATTTCAGTTTATATTGTTGCAGAACGAACACAAATCCTGATATTCAAATCCCATCTTCCTTCTCATGTAATGAAAACTTCCCTAATCATAATATAAATATAAATGTCCTGCATGTTGGTATAAATAAAGCCCAGTTATTGAATTACTTCTCTGGATATCCAGATTTTTATTTGGGACTGAGGAAGATTCGTTGCTAGTGTTGCTAATTTTCAGCTGCTGCTAGACTCACCAAGGCTTTGTGCAGCCTTATGGTGTTTTCAGACCAAACGTGAATTTAATCCTACATTCGCTACAAGTGTTCCCACACAACGCGAGAAGGCGATGAGAACCCGCGAAAATTTGCAAGTGGAACTTGAACTTCTGTTCATTACCACTAATATCATCATATTATATTATAACAGTTGAATAATTGCATGTGGGGAACAAAAAGAAGGAGATAAAACCTGAAAAAAGTCTTTATAGTGTGTTCTACTTTTTTTAGTTTTTCATTCAAATTGTGTAATTACTTCCACAGAGGTTATGACTTCACCTACATTGAAATAGGTGCTCTACTGTTTCTTCTTGCCCTCTTGAATGATTCTTGTCTCTCCTGCCGCTTCCTGCACATCTAATTTCTCCAACTATCCTTTGCACTCTGTATAATAATAATAATAATAATCTTTATTTGTAGAGCACTTTTCAAAAACAAGTTACAAAGTGCTTTAACAAGTGTAAAGACAATAATACCTCAAAAACAATAATACAAAAACAATACAAGATAAAAGCAAGAAAACATTGAAAAGACTAAAATACACGTTTAAGATAAATATAAAATAAGTAAAATAGAATAAAATAAAAGGGATTTAAAAAAGTCAAATAAAATCGAGAAAGGCTCTCCTGTAAAAGTCCCCTTTAGTTTTCAGTCAAGACTCTGGAACAGACAGCAGACCTCTGCCCGAGGATCTCAAGGTACATGCTGGTGTGTATGGGACTAAAAGGTCAGAAATATAACAAGGCGAGAGGCCATGAAGAGCTTTAAAAGTGATCAATAAAATTTTAAAGTAAATTCTAAAACATACTGGGAGCCAGTGTAGTGAAGCTAAAATAGGGGTAATGTGGTCATATTTCTTTGTTCTGGTTAAAAACCTGGCAGCTGAGTTCTGGACAGTCTGGAATCGATCAATAGATTTTTAGGATAAACAAGTGAAAAGTCTGTTGCAATAATCCAGGCGTGATGAGATGAAGGCGTGTAAAATGGTCTTGGTGTCCTCAAAAGATTGAAGTGTTGCTATATTTCTAAGTTGATAAAAACATGATTGAACAAGCTTTGTGGTGTGCTGCTCGAAATTTAAATTACTATCAAACCACACCAAGGTTCTTTGCAACAGGCTTAATGTGATTTACTAGGCCATCTGCTGGGACAAGATGACCAGGATTTCTGTTTTGTCTGAGTTCAGCTGGAGGAAATTATTTGACATCCATTTTTTTACTTCACAAAGGCAGTCGGTAAGTGAACTCAGCATTCCAGGGTCTGTGGATCTGACGGGCAAGTACATTTGTGTGTCATCAGCATAAATAAATACCATGGTACCATGAAATACCATGTTTATGGATAATATGTCCAAGGGGAAGCAGATACAAGGAAAACATTAAAGCTGCAAGCAGCGTTGGGCGGGCCCTCGCACTTGTAGCGCGTCCGCGCGTGAACCGGCCGAGTTGCATATTCTGGAGCTCTGCCGGTGTGGCTGTGAATTTCCTACGCGGTTCCGACGCCGCATGAAGGTGCTATATGTCACTTCCTGTGTCCCCTATGTGGAGCTACATAACACTTGCCGCTATGAATATAAATCGGTATTGACGTGTAGATGTCTGCGGGGTGGGAGAGTTATCAAGCACGTAAAGTTTGTTTCAGATGTGACCATGTACACTGAACAATAATGTACCCAAACAATAAAATAAATTCCTTTTATATTTCCCTGCCTTGTTGTTTATGTGTACATACAGAGGGAGAATGTGAGAACAGCACACATTTCATCGTTACTGTGTGTTAGAGCATGGGAGAACAGTGGATACTTTTAATACAGCCCACACCCCTAATACTGTGTAACTATAACAAGTAGAGAACAGAAGAAAAAGATGTTCTTTCTTTACAACTGTCTGCATAGCTTATTCATATTGTGTAATGAATGAAAATAAATAGGCCTACTAGGATCCTCTCTACTTTGACATTTAAGATTAGCTTGTTTGATCCACCTTCATACACATGTGACATTACTGTACAACTTGAGAAAGGTGAGTTGTTTTCTGCTCCAGCCTGCCTAAAAGAAAAGCGTTTTTGGGATTAAATGGACTTTATTAGCTGCTGCAGTGCAGGATGAACTCAGAATAGACCCATTTCTCCCCTTATTATTCTAAATCATGCAACGAAGAAGAAGAAATGCATAATAAATCCTGGGACAAAATCTGTAGTCAAATACTGTACAGCATGTAGTCTAATGAACAAGACTTGTGTTATAGCTGACTTGGGCAGTGAAATGTTTAATTTTTTTAATTCATGTGGTCATAGTTGTCCACAACTCAAATCAGAATATAAGAAGAAATGTTTTATACCACCTCAAGAAGGCTTCCTATCAGAAAGGTAGGAAGGTATTTCAAATGTACAACTGCAATACTTAAATCTAAGTAAAGTAATTTCCCTGACATTTTTGTGTTACTTTACTTTTAATAGACCCATGTAACAGGTTTTATACTTCCTGTGAGTATAATCCAATCAATATTATTTTCATACTGTATATCCGTTGTGTAATTTGATAAATTGTGTTGTATGTCGTGCTCGCATCTCAGAGAAGACTCTGACTGCAACATGCGTCTTTGTAAAGAGAGAAACAGACAGAAAAAGTCTATAACTCTGCCTGTCAGCTCGCTCTGCTCCGTTAAAACTGAATTTACCATACAGAATTGAATACGAGTGCACTCCAGATTTAGCTGCAGCCAGCTGACCGTGTGCTTCTCCCTATACCGCAGTTCTGTGTCCATGCATGCAGCAAACTGAAAGCACTGTCTGTCGGAGCGTCTATGTGAAAAGAGAAGGAAGACATTGCTGGTAGTATTGTCTTCAGAGTTGTTAAACACCTCAGCGCACTGAGGAAGTCATCTGACTGTGTGAGGGGCAAGATCGTTGATGTCTGCAGGCAGAGTAGGAGCTCTCCTGTCTGACTGGTCCACCAATAGCAGAGAAGATGACCCCTTGAGACACAGCCCCTCCTCATTTGCATAATGAGGCAGAAATGCATACAAAAATTTAAAAAAGACAGGCAGAAATAAATACCATGGGTGAAAATAAATAAGGTAAATAAATACAAAGGAAGAATAAAACAGACAAAAATATTAAAACTCACACATAAATAAATACATTAAAAAAATTAGTAATAAATAAAGTTGAATAAACAAATAAGGTAATTATAACAAAGGTGAATAAGTAAAGGCACTAATTAAAATATAACATTTATGTCTCCTTGTATAATTTAATTACTACCTACATTTATTTATTTACTTTATTTTTTTGTGTATTTAATTGGATGCTTATTTATTTATTGAGCATTTATTTATTTCTGTATTTATTTCTGGCTGTGTCAGGATCGGTCCTCCATAACGGGGTGGGAGAGTTATCAAGCACGTAAAGTTTGGTTAAGATGTGAGCATGTACACTGAAGTTACAACAACTTCCTGTGTCATGGCGAAGACTTGATCTCTGACGCCACGCCACGGACACACCCATTGACGAAAACTCGCAAATAGCACAACTTTTCATCTTCAATGCCTTTAGAAGGCACAGCACAAATTTGAAGTCGGTCGGACTAAATCCCTAGGAGGAGTTCGTTAAAGTACGAAGTGTGTAAATCATCCAAAATTTGACGTAAAATTCAAAATGGCCGACTTCCTGTTGGGTTTAGGCTATGGCTCCAAGAGACTTTTTTGTGCGTCTGGACAAGATACACGTACCACAGAAAATTCGTGCACGTAGGTGAAACGTGCGGCGGGGGCTGCTTCGTTAAAAGTCACTTCCTGTTGCCAGCAGGTGGCGCTATGACTGTGGGTGAATGTCAGCATGTACATGTGTTCAGGGCGGGACTCTCATCCTACATGTACAGTTTGGTCCAGATGTGAGCATGTACACTGAAGCTACGACAACTTCCGTGTCATGGCGAAGAGTTGATCTTTGACGCCACGCCACGGACACGCCCATTGACGAAAACTTGCAAATAGCACAACTTTTCATCTTCAATGCCTTTAGAAGGCACAGCAGAAATTTGAGGTCGTCGGACTTAATCCCTAGGAGGAGTTCGTTAAAGTACGAAGTGTGTAAATCATCCAAAATTTGACGTAAAATTCAAAATGGCCGACTTCCTGTTGGGTTTAGGCTATGGCTCCAAGAGACTTTTTTGTGCGTCTGGACAAGATACACGTACCACAGAAAATTCGTGCACGTAGGTGAAACGTGCGGCGGGGGCTGCTTCGTTAAAAGTCACTTCCTGTTGCCAGCAGGTGGCGCTATGACTGTGGGTGAATGTCAGCATGTACATGTGTTCAGGGCGGGACTCTCATCCTACATGTACAGTTTGGTCCAGATGTGAGCATGTACACTGAAGCTACGACAACTTCCGTGTCATGGCGAAGAGTTGATCTTTGACGCCACGCCACGGACACGCCCATTGACGAAAACTTGCAAATAGCACAACTTTTCATCTTCAATGCCTTTAGAAGGCACAGCACAAATTTGAGTCGGTCGGACTAAATCCCTAGGAGGAGTTCGTTAAAGTACGAAGTGTGTAAATCATCCAAAATTTGACGTAAAATTCAAAATGGCCGACTTCCTGTTGGGTTTAGGCTATGGCTCCAAGAGGCTTTTTTGTGCGTCTGGACAAGATACACGTACCACAGAAAATTCGTGCACGTAGGTGAAACGTGCGGCGGGGGCTGCTTCGTTAAAGTCACTTCTGTTGCCAGCAGGTGGCGCTATGACTGTGGGTGAATGTCGGCATGTACATGTGTTCAGGGCGGGACTCTCATCCTACATGTACAGTTTGGTCCGGATGTGAGCATGTACACTGAAGTTACAACAACTTCCTGTTTCATTGCGAATCATCGACGCCACGGACACGCCCATT